TGCTTGCTTGCTTCTGCTGTTTGCGATGCGTGTGCTGCATCCTGTGGTTCTTCAAGAGGTTTTGGCTGCTCTGCTTGAGCTGCATTGTTTGCTTGGTCTTTGCTATTTGTTGTTGCTATGGCTGGTATCGTTGAGCAATCGCCATCGGTAGCCATCAGCCTGAGAATCTCTTTGCTAGCCTCACTGTGCTCTTCCGCGACCTTAGACAGACAAACCAGAGTATAGTAGGTGCAAGTAGCCACAGTATGTATTATATAATGATAGATAATGATATATATATATGTGTGTGTTTGTTTGCGCGGGTTTTGAGACTTACTCTATACGCTCAGGTCTCTTTTTACTTTGGTCTCCTTCTCTCTCTCTCTCTCTCTAATTGTGATTATATATATATATAGTCGACCACGGCCCCAGCTGGCAACTGAAAACAACATGAGCACTTGAAGCACCTCCAAGTGGCAGTAGCAGGCAGCTTCAAATTGTTGCGGAAGTCCTGTGATGCCCTCACAAGCAAGCTGTAGTGCCCAAACAAGTGAGTGCCAGCTGCTGCCTTGTCGAAGTGGAAGTACAAGTGAGCAGAAGGCAGCCCAGTACCATAGACAGCGTCCAGCTGGTTCTCCCCGTGAACAAGTCCAACCTGCTGTCAGTTCATAACTCTTAGAACATCCACCCGATGCTAATATCCAAAGGCTAGGGGCGAGTATCTATATATATATATATATAGATATGTATGTATATCTACACACTGCCTCTTACTTGTTTGTACATAATCTAGGCCACTTTATGTACAAGCAAAACTAAGTCCGCGTAACCTCTCCATGGAATGGTTTTTCAACACAACCCTGCCTCTGCAGAGCATGTGCACCTTATTGCAAAGCCCGTCACTTGAGAAATCCAGTAAAGGTCGTGAGGCGCAAAGCAGACTTCTTTTTGAACACGGAGGATGTCCTGAGTGTACACAGGATCGCACTCCCTCAAAGCCACTTCACAAGTTGCCTCATGCAACTCCCTGCCATTCGCCTCCTCTTCCTGCAAAACTCGGGAATTCAAAGGAGCTGCTGTTTCAGCTGATCTTGGGATCTTGTCATATTTGGCGAGATCATCATTTGCCAACAGGGAGTGCCACCCACAGTATTCACCTTCCGAAACAGCACTAACGGCCCGTGTTTGGCTGAAGCATCAACATCTGAGGACATCTTTGTTTGCACCTGCTTCACCACAGCAAGAGCAATCTTTTCTGCTGCTTTGTCATAATGGCTGACACCAAGTTCACTGAGATGACAAATGTTGTAGCTCAAGCGTTGAGATCCTTCTGCGCGAGGTTGAGTGGCCCATGA